CTGCGGAAACGTCGACCTAGGTTCAACGCCTCCCTCCGCCGCCCGTTTTTACTCACCTCTTAAGATCAAAATTTTCGCATATCTTTTGTAAATAGAAGGCCTGTTCTACCAGATCGCTTGGGAACAATAGCCCGAAATTCGAAAAATACAAAGGGAAGTGCCAAGTTTTATAATGAGCCAAGCGGCGGTAATGGCGTGTTGACACGTACACACACACAGGCCCACACACACGGCCGCACCCCTGGCACCCTGCCGGCCGTGCCGAGGGCGTGCAGGTGGTGCTCAGGGCCCATTCACCTGCACGCCACACTGGGGGCCTAGTGCGGCCTAGTGCGGCCTGGTGCCGCCAGTGCACCAGCGTGGCCTGCTCCAGTGACGGTGCCACTGCGCCTGGCGGGCTGGCGCGCGGCAACCCTTCGCGCGGCCGAGGCCGAGCCACGCCCGGTGGGCGGCCACCCATCACGCAGCCGTAGCGCTGGAGCCGAGCCACAGGCCGCGAGCTGGAGACCTGCACGCACCGACGGCCACTTCAGGCAAAGCCCCATGGCAGCCCTTTCAACACCGGTGTGTCGCGGGAATTTTCTCCGCCACACTGCGAGTGCCTCTTGCCCGCTGTTGCCCGGGCCCAGTGCCCCGGCCCCAGTCCCGGGCGCGGGTGGCGGCCGTTGCGACGGCGGCCGGTGGCGACGTGAATGTGCACTAATTCTCGGCATAATGTGTGTGCGGAGGCTCGTTCTGGTCCGCGTCCAACACGCCGGCACCGAGGGGCACCGAGGCACTGAGGGAGGAAGCCCTCGCTGCTGGCTGGCCCGCTAGCTCTCGGCGCCCAGAGTTCCACCCCAACGCAAATGAGGCTGCGCTTCGGGCTGGCTGGGCCCGTGAAGCTGTGAAGGATACCCGTTTTTCGCGGTTCGGAGTTCTGACACCTCGGCCGGCCAGTTCGCCCCCGGCACAAGGACATCGTTCGTCTTCGCGTTGGACGTGCTCCTGATGGTGTGCAGGTGCACGAGACGCACCACCCCGCAACCCTGCAACCAGCATTCGCGACGAAAAACGAGCGCGTGATATTTTTTTCTGGCCCCGACGGAGAGTCGAACCCGCCGCCCCGCGGATGCCGACGGGGCTGCTGCGCTGCCTTGTTTCGGGGCAGTGTCAGTGACGCCGTGTGACAGCCGGGGGGCGGGGCGTGGCCGCGCGGCAGCATGGCGGCTGCGCAGGTGCGCCGCTTGGCCGGGCCTGCCGCTCTCGCTTGCTCTCGCTCTGGCCGCACTGGCCGCGGTTTTCCGTGGACCGACATCACCCCGACACGCTCCCGCGAAGCAGACGACACCGGCTATTCTGGTCGGCCGGCAGTCAACTCGTTGCTCCCCCTCCCCTACCCTCTCTGGATGTGATGTGTTTACATGACGCCAGTCAGGCAACAAGGGCCCACGGCGGGCTGCGCGGGCTGTGCTGCGCTGCCTTGGGCCGTGCCAAAATATTCAGAATTCCAGTCGGCGAGTCGGCGACAACGGCGCGCCGCCCTAAAGGCCACCAGCCTCGGCGACCGCGCGCCGCGTCGACGGAAGGGCCAGGGCCGCTGTCGCTGCCGCCCCCCGCGACGTCCGCGACGGGCTATCACTCCCACAACGAGAGAGAGAAAAGTAAACAAAACCCGCGCTAAAACCCCGACCCGCCGACCTCACTGACAAACAAATCTGCGAGGAAAGTCCAAACTTTTCAGAAGCAGCATGCAGAGAATGGAGACTCGGGCCAGGTCAGTCCTGCCCCGCCCGTTCCAAGGCCCGTTCGGTCGGCGCCGAGAGCCGAAATGAAAGGTCGCTGAAAACTGAAAACACGCTGGCTGCCCGTCATCGGCCGGTGCAGCTGGGCGGCCCAACGCGGCTGAGAGCGGCTGAAGGCCTCGCCTCTAGATAAACGCCCTCGCTTTGGCCCCATTGTGATGATCGAAAATAAAAATGAGCAAAGGAAGGAGAGCAACTGCTTGAGGGTGCCGGTCGTCGGCGACCTGGTCCCATCCCATTACTCGCAGTGTCGTCGCCGTGGTCGTCGCCGTCCTTCGCCCTGCCCTGCCCTGCCGCCCTGCCGTCCTGGTGGAATGTGGGGCTTGCTTCGCGTGCGCCAAACACGCCAAGGCATCGGCTGCCGTCGGCACGCCACTGTACGAACAGTTATTCGCAAAGTGACCGCTGGGTGCCACTGGATGTCCTGGACCGCCTGGACGGCCACCCCCCACGCGCTTGACCGCCATCGCGGAGCCCGCCGTCACCAGCCCGGGGCGTGTCTCCCGTCTTGATGCTAACCTGTCGCTTGGTTGAATTCCATTCTTGAAAGTACTCCATCCCCATGGCTCGGGGTCACTGGCACTGCAGAAAGTACTTGGGCGCTACTCGGCCTCCCTCTCTCTCACACACACTGCTCCTCCACTGTATCTAGCACTGCACTATCACTGCACCACGTCCAGCGGGCAGGCCGCTGTCGGGGCTGCCATGGCGGCGGGGCTGCGCGGACGGCACGCGGCGACGCGGCGCGACGCGACGCAACGCGACGCAAAGCGAGGACGGCGGAAAATCGCACACGAGAACGCGATTTCGAACGAGTTCGGCAGGGCGGATCCCGTTTTCCCGATTGGGCACGGCACGGCACGACGCGACGACGCACGGCACGACACGCACGACACGAGGCGGCGAACGCGACACGACACGACGGCGTGCTCCGAGCGACACCGCCCCTGGACTGGCCGGCTGGCGGCGGGATCCTTCTTCAGCACCCCGCCAGCCACGACCACGCAGCGGGCCCCGCGCAGCCCCGCGCAGCCCCCACCCCTCGGCGGCCACCACGCCGCCATCGCCGCCCTCCGCTCTGAATCGCTCTCTGTCGTCTCTCTTCACACCACATTTTCCCGGTTTCCTCCAAACCCCTGCGCGGCTGCTCGCCCATAAATAACTCCATGTCTGATCCCCCCACCGCGGCCCGAAGGACCACCGCCGCGCATCGAAGCGGCGTCCTGAGGGAAGCAGGCGACGGCCGGCCCTCGTGGGACAAGGTGGGCAGGGAGCAGGCCGGGCAGGCCGGGACTGGGACAGGTGAGCGGAAGTCTCCGGGACTGAGCCCCGTCCAACGTGCGGTGGAGGGAGAGTTTAGTCTGTAGTCTGGAGCAGCGGACCCCAAATGGGGTCGCGAAAAAATTTCGAAGGGTCGCGGCGAGGTGGTTGGGGTCGCCTGGGGTCGCGGCTGTTTTCCGGCTGGCAGAATTGTTCAAAACGGTCGAAAATGCCTTTGAAAACTCGTGTTTTAGGCCGACTTTAAGCAGCAACTGCGTCTGATCCGAGGCGGTATTTCGTCCTCCCTCAGCGGGCATTTGGTCTTTGGACCTTCCTTTAGCATGCCTTTGTTACGGAGTGCGATTATCGGCCTTAGTTTGGGAGCAGTATTGTCTCAAAGTTGATGAAAACAGTATAAAATGCCTTTGAATGCCATTTTGATCCACTTTGAGACAATACTGCTCCCAAACTAAGGCCGATAATCGCACTCCGTAACAAAGGCATGCTAAAGGAAAGTCCAAAGACCAAATGCCCGTTGAGGGAGGACGAAATACCGCCTCGGATCAGACGCAGTGGCTGCTTAAAGTCGGCCCAAAACACGATTTTTCAAAGACATTTGTGGCCGTTTTGATCAACTTTGTGGCAATACTGCTCCCGAACTAAGGCAGATAATCACACTCCGTAACAAAGGCATGCTAAAGGAAGGTCCAAAGACCAAATGCCCGTTGAGGGAGGACGAAATACCGCCTCGGATCAGACGCAGTGGCTGCTTAAAGTCGGCCCAAAACACGATTTTTCAAAGACATTTGTGGCCGTTTTGATCAACTTTGCGGCAATACTGCTCCCAAACTAAGGTGGATTATCGCACTTTGTATCAAAGGCATGCTAAAGGAGGGGTCGCGAAATTTTTCCTGGGGGTCGCGGAATTTTTTTGTATCAAATTTGGGGTCGCGAACCGAAAAAGGTTGGGAACCGCTGGTCTGGAGGCTGGAGGCTCACTTCCTCCCCGCAAGCTCAGTATTCTTCCCCGCTTCAGACGTTCGCTCAATTACTTTAACCACCCAAATTCTTCTTTATTGTGTGCTTTATTTCAGAGTGGTAGCTGAACCCGCTGAAGCAACCTGGCCTTGGCCGTGACAGGCTTGCAATTGACGGTCGCCGTCCAGGCGTGCCTCTCCGCTTCTCTGTCGCGGGGTTCCGCCATTTTATGGAGCATTTTGTCGCCGAATGGTTTTGGCCCGGCCTCAGGGTCGAGGGGGCATCCCGTGGTCATTGCCAGCGCCGCCTCGCTTCTCGCCACTTCGCTTTACGAGCATTCCCCGCGAGTGTCTTTTTCACAAAAAGCCGTCTGTGCCTCCGTTGTGTGTCCAGTCCCATTAGGAAGTCGGGGAGACGGGCAGACGGGGCGCGTGCGAAGAAGGAGAGAGGCAGAGTGGTGAGGGAGGAGGCAAGGAGGAGGGGGCAAGCTGCTGCATGGGGACGGGAACGGAGGCGGGGTTGGGGTGGTGGGGGTTAACGAACCCTGTCATAATGGAAGATTGGGTTGGTGACGGGCCAGGTGCCACGCCGGCGCGGCCCGCCTCGTCAAGGTGTCACAGAGACGGGGCGTGGCATGACGGAAGCCGGAATGACCCGGGAGGCCAACAAGTGTGCTGCACGTTGGCGTCGGCCGGCACCCCTTCCGCTCCTTCTTGCAGACCCACCGCACGGTAGCGACACACACTGTCAGCTACCAACCCAGCATTATTGTACAGCTCGAAACTACTCTAAACTATTTTTACCATCGTATTAATGCACGAAACACAAGCCTGTGGGTTAATAGCTGCCGCGTCCGGAACGCGCTGCGTTCGCCTTACTTGCTCGCGAGCTCTAGACCCGCACTTCTCTCTCTCGCTCTCCGCGCCTCCATTGAGGCCTCCAGCGAGGCCTCCAGCGGCCCTCGCTCCTTGCCCTTACTCTGCGTCCGTTCTCGCCGTTGACTCCGTTGAGGCCGGCCATGCTCGCCTTCCTGACATAGGCGGCGAAAAGCTTGCGCCTTACCTGGAAGCACAAGAAACTGGATTAGTGACACGTTCCACTCCACGCCGTGTGCGCCTCGGCGCGTCACGCCACGCGTCACGGGGTTGGGCGGCCCGAGCGCCAAGCACGCGTGCCAAGTGCCGGCCGGCCGGGGAAAGGGGCAGAAGTTGATCGATCGAAGTGCATGACGTGTTCATGCGGCGAGCAGCGCGAGCAGCGCGACGCGGGTCGCGGCCAGGGCGACGCCGGGGCGACGTCGAGGGGAGAAAAACCACCGTCATATTTCGTGTACGTTATTGGTTTCGAACATTCTTTTTTTTTGCGGGGGGGGGGGAGGAGGGGCACGTTGTTGACTTGGTGCACAGAGAGTGACCCAGATGATCCGGCAAAACATTCTCTTGGAAGGGCGGAGCGTTGCAACGATTTTGACAAAAAGAGTCTGCGCCACACCGTGACAGGGCAAAGTCGTCGCAAGAAAAGGCAACTCTTCAATGAACAAATCGCATCCGGAATCACACACACGGTTTCAAGCAACTCCCATCAAGCTCAGAGAGAAAAAGAGCAGACATAACAAAACACAGCATAGGCTCCACGGCGAAATTTGTTCCCCGCGCTGTTTTTCGCGTAGGGCGGTGTCCGTTCTCCTCACCGCCTCTGTCTTGCTTTATATTTTGTTTTGTTTTCTTTGCGGTTCGCTTTGCCGCGGCGACAAGCAGTGGGCTGTCCTGCCTCGATACCGTCGGACTCTCCGACTGTCGGCTCGGCGCCAGCGATCCACCTGCGGAAAAAACGCGGCGGGGGCCAGCCAGGGGGAGAAAGAGGGAGAGAGACGGAGAGTGGAAAGCACCCTTTACGGGGAACACGGACAACCAGTCTCTGTGCGGTCTGCCAGGGCTCCACACTTGGAACCAAAGCTTGGGGTGGGTCGCGTCGACGCCGCGCTCCCTCCCCCTCCCCCTCCCCCTTCGCGGCGCGCCTCGCTCGCCCCGCTCCTCGCGGGCGAAAGAGGAAGACCCGGGTGAAGAAAGAGCGCGACAATCATTTTGGGAGCAGCAGGAAAGCAGGCGCCCTTGAGGCCGGCCGGGCCAGCGCAGCGCGTGCCGCGTGCCGTGGCCGGCACCTCCTCGTAAAGTGTGCGACGCCGCGACGCCGCGACGCCGCGACGCCAGCCCAGAGGCGAGGCGCGCCCAGTACAGTGGAGTGCGCCGACGCCGACGGACAGCAGGCTCAGTCCGAGAGTCGTTTTCGTCGCTCTGTCTCTCTCGCACCTGTGAGGGACGCCCCATGAGTGCGAGAGAGACAGAGCGACGAGTCAGTGTGCCGCCCGGCGGACAGGACAGGCCGAGCTGGCGTCGGTCCGCCATTGCCCGCCATTCAGCGCCTGCGAGGTGCGGGCAGGCAACCCGCCGCACGGCGCTGCCCGACGGCACGGCGGCGCGCCACGGCTGACTCCGGGCCGCGGCTGGCGGCTGGCCGGCTGGCTGGCGCGCCCAGTGTGTTGCCATACCGCCCGCGTGGTGGCGGTGCCCCCCGAGACCGCGGCGCCGTGCTCGCCGTCGTGCTCGCCGTGCTCGCGGCGCGGTTGGCCGTCAGCCGCGAGCCAGCAATTAGTTATATTTTGTAAATGCCAGCAGGCCGACACGACTCGGTCCAAGCGGCCAACCGAGCGTGGACTCCACCCCGCCCCTTCAGTCTTCGGCCACGGCGAAAGTGAAGAAACCGATCCAAGAGGCACAGTGCGAGAAAAGTTCATTCGGGATGCGAAACAAAAACACGAACGAAACACCGTGCCCAAGGCCAGCAAATGCACCATACCGTCCACAAGCAACAGAAACAGATTACAAACCGAGGGGACGGTACATTATACAGTATGTGAATGTAGGCGACTATTAAAAGACTGCTTGTGACTGAGTATGGCGAAAAAAAACAATTAGCTTTGACAGTTTTTGGGCGACCGCTGCGTCCAATCTAGCTGCGGTTAAAGCCTTCCCTCAACGTCCTGGTGCTAGGACCTAGCATTTCATGCCCCGCCTCGGAAACGCCTTAACGGCACTTGGTCTCGGAGCGCCGGGCTCCGCCGTCGGGGTCTCTTCGCTGGCGGCGCACTCGGCGGTGTCGTCGCGGTTCACCCGACGTACTCCCGCGAGCACTTACTCCGGAGAATCTATTCCGAGCGCGGGCCAAAAAAAATTCCGTCTATTTCGGTGGCTCTTGGCCCCCTCCACCCGCGCCCCGCCCCGCCCCGCCCTCAAGGCTCTCGGACTCCGCCGCCTCCCTGCTCGCGACCTCAGCGCGGCGTCAGCGGCGTCCGCGGCGTCGCCACGCGGAATGCCGCCCCACCGGTGCGCGCGTGGCGGCGCAGCACCAAAACAATTCATAGTGTGCAGCGGCGGCTCTAATCCGACCACTTCCACCTCGTACACCGTGTCGTCCGCATAGTCCGCGTCCACGAGGCGCCCTATTTCGGGACCGGCAGCATCCCGAGGGACTCGACGCGGCGGGGACGGCGCCGACCGCCCCGAACTGCCTGGGCCCGCCCCGCCACGCGGAACCAGCGGTGACCTTAGCGGGGCCGCGCTGCTGGCGAAGCTGCCGGCTCGGTTCGTTACCCCGGCCGGGCCTTCCGCGCGGTGCGCGCGGTGCGCGGCCTTCCCCCAGGGCAGGAGGGGGAGGGTGCGAAATGCAGCGCAGCTGTAGCTGCGCGCGTAATTGGGGGTGACGGTGTGTGTGTACGCTGCGAGTCCTCTGTGCTGCATGCGGGCGGGGCGGGGCGCGGCGGCAGGTGGAGCCCCCTCATCCAGATGGCGCCGTGGCGACAGCGCGCGTGGTGTTCCTGGTTCCCGGTTCAGGCGCAGACTGGCGTCCTTCCCTCCCCCTCCGCCGCTGCAGCTCTGTCACGGCCTAGTTGCAGGCGCACGGCGCGCACGGCGACATCAAAGCGTCCGGACGGGCCGCCGAGCTGGCGTGAAATGCGTCACCTTCGCGCGCACGCACTGCACGGCGTCCTGCCGGCGGTGACGAGATCCTCTCTCCGGCCCCGCTGTGCTGGGGGGCTGCGAGCAGTATGCAGCACGCTTTACGCCCCGAGCGGCCTTGCTTCCGCGCTTCGTGTTTCGAGTGCAGTGGGACCGTTTCCCGCACTGTCCGCAGTGTTTGGGTGGATCGCGGTGGCCGCGATGGCAGGCTGCATACATCAGTGACAGTACTGCGATGTTGGTTTCGGCCGGCTAGGCTTGGCCAGGCCAGCCGCTGAGCGCGCAGTGGGCGGCGGCCGGGCCTAGCCGAGCCCGCGTCCTAAGTGCACACGACGGCGAGCTTCACGTGACCGCCGCATCCCGCGAGCACGTGAGTCGCCAAAACACGAAACAACACCAGGCAAGACGAAAGGAGGCGGCCGGGAGTTGAACCCGGCGCCCTGCGAGGCCATGCACGCTCCACGAGGGGGCATCGGACTCGGCGGCGCGCGGCGCGCAGGAGGATTGTTTACCATTCGGGAGGCGATCGCGGCAAGTCGATATTTCCACTGTTTGCAGTCAGTCAAAAGGGGGCAAGCAGGGCGAGTGCTGAAAAACATCGGTCAAATCGACGAAGATAGCGCGCGTTGTGCATCATGCCGTGCATGCCGCCGTCTGCTAGAAACATAACAGCGATAGAACCTAACCTAACATTTCCATAATGCACCTGCTGAAACGATCCCAAACGTCAACAAGAACAACAACAACGTTAAAAACAACATGAACGACAAATGCAGAGTGCGTCCGCATGCCATGCCACATGATCCGGTCGAGTGCGCTTTCTGAAACAGCAACAGGAATAAATGCGCGCGGCGTGCACTCGGCGCGGCGTCGGCAGCGCGGCAGCGCCACCCTCTCTCTCGCTGTCTCTCTCTTTCTACTGCGGGCCGCAAGCTGCGCTGCGCAAGCATCGTTGTCTCATATTTGCCTCCTCGTCGGTCATGTCCTGGAAAACAAGAGCAGAAAGCACAAACGGCGTCAGTCATCTGGCAAAAAATTGATTTCTGGGACAAAGCGTCACAAGCGAGAAGCTGAAAGCAGTTACGAACGGGGTGTTCTCATCCCCTGCAGACTCGCTGTACTGTTTCCGAGCACTCATTTCGTCGCTCTGTCTCTCTCGCTCTCTTACCGAGCGCCCCTTGAGTGCGAGAGAGACAGCGATATGCGTGCCAATGGCCGCATCTCCGCTTCCGCCCGGCGGTCCCCTCACAGGGCGGGAAATTCGGGCGCTGCGACACGTGGCGTCTATTTACCCGGCCGCCCCGGTGGCTGCGGGCTGACTCCGGAGAGGCGTTCTCGTCGCTCTTTCTTTCTCGCACTGCAGGGGGCGTCCCGAACAGGTTTGAAAGAGACAGAGCGACGAAAACGCCTCTCTCGGCATCAGCCTGCTGCGCATGCTGCGCGTCTTGTCGGGATAAAAGGGGCCACTTACCAGCCGCGTCTATCAGCGCGGCGAATCGGGACCGCGGTGGACGAACGGACGGACAGACAGACAGGATACAACGCGAGCGACTTTCGCTCGGGCCAACTTTGCGGCGCAGTCGCGCTTGCATCACAACAAGGCATCGCGTCAGCGCGCGTGCGATGGAAAAATGTGAAAAGCTCTGCGTCTGTTTGCACCGAGGGGCTGCCTTGACGCCGTGCCTCTAGCGCCAACCGCCAGAGGGGGTGGGTGGGCCGTCCTCGGCCGTCCTTGCTGCGGCCTGCGGGTTGACAAACGCCCTCGTCTTTCGCGTGTTTTCTCGCGGCCAAACACTTTCAATTAATTTTAGAGCTGCAGAGGTATGCACGGCGGCACGGCGCAGAGGAAATCAAGTCCTGCTGCAAGGTTCGCGACTCGCCGGTGTAGCCCGTTGTTGCATTCCGTGGTCTGCCTTCATACGGGGCTGCACTTCACAGTTCCACAGCGCCCGCAGGGACCTCGGGGGGAATCGAGTGGGTCCGTGCCCACTCGAAAGGTTTCGTTTTAATTGACCGTTGCGATGAAAAATACTCGTTTCTCGCCGTTTTCGTCCGAATTTCAGCCATGCGCGGACTGGGCGACAAGGTTCTGCCCTTTCCTCAGACTAATTTAATCCTGCCTTGCCCTGGCCGAGGGGCGCGCCGCAGCCGCAATGCTTTCGACCGGCCATTGCGTAATTTGGAAGAGAAGAGGGGAAAACGGGCAGCGGGCAGCGCTGCCCTGGCCGAGGCTGGCCGAGGCCTACGCCCCTCTACAGCGTGCCTGGCGCCCTCGCCAGCGTCGCGTCGGCCGGCGTCGGCCGGTCGGCCAGCGCGCGCCCTCTGCGCGGGGGAGCGCCGCACCGAGAGACTCGGCGGCTCGGCGGCCGGCCGCTGGGGGGCGCCACGCTCCGCGACACGCGCGTCGCCACGCATCCCGACGGAGGGCGTGCGCCAAGCGCCAAGCGCGCCAAGCGAAAGCGAGGGAAGCGTTGCCTCCCGGACGCAGCACCGCGGCAGGCCAAGCAGGCCCTCAATGTCAACCCCGCAATCGGGACCCGCAGGGCAGCCAGCCTCGCAGAGGAGGTAGAAGCAGGAGGAGGACAAAGGAACAACCGTGGACACTAGCCTTCGGCGTTAAGACACAGTTGGTACCGCACAGTGGCAGCGGAGGCGCTCGCAGGGCGCGGCCAGCGCGGCGCACTACACCCCGTGCCGCCACCACACTGCCAACTTTCCCACGACGAAAATATATCGGCAGTTATGCCTGGCTTGTGAAGGATTCGATGAGCGGACGTGCCCGCGCCGCGTCCCAGCGGCCGGCGCCCTCTGTCTCTGCCCCTCTCGCTGCAGGCCGGCGGGACGGACGGCGACGGGAGACCGCCTTCGGACGCGCCCAGTGGGACCAAAGGGCATCGCGGTGGGAAAGTGCCAGTGCTGGCCGCCCTGGCCGCCCTGGCCGTCGCACGGTGCACCGGGACCTTGCCGTTGTTGTCCTGCTCCCTGCCCAGCAGCACCGCTGAATCACGCCGCCGAACCATGACCGCGATGGCCACGAGCCTTGGAAGGTGCTACACTATAAAGAAAATTTCAGCGAAAGAGGGCACCCCGGCGAACCGGCCCTCTTCCCCGCTGGCTTGGTGGACCAGTGGTTCCCCCATCTCATCACAGGAGCAACCTCAGAGTTAAACCGCAGTGGCCCCGTCATTGGTCACGTCAACTGTGATGTGGAGGAGTCCTCTCACAGTAGGCCAGGCTGCCACCTTTCCCAGTAGTCGGGTTTCGTTCCCGGCCCCCTTCCCACTCAGGGGCCATACTACTGGTAGTCAGGAGTCTGCGTCACCCTGCCCAGCAGCGGAACCACTGGGCTATGAGAGGCACACTGAACGCCGGCCGATTTTGTATACTTGAACCGCCTTCTTGCGATGCAAAGCTTTGTCAAAACATTCGGTACCGTGCTGGGTATCGAACCCCGGACCCCGCATCTGGGAACCGACACATCTGCGCTCTCGGCCACCACGGCCCATGGATGACACTGTGCGAAAGTGAGCCTTTGAAGCCGCTGGTCCGAACCGTATAGTCAGACAAAAAGAGCGGGAAGCTGGTATTCGATCGCTCGATCCCAGTATAGGATTCAGACATTTAACACCTTCGGCCACCGCGGCTCACCGAGTGAGTCGATTGGCGCACCGGGTGATTCGAGAGGCGCAACGGGAAATCCACTCCTAAAATGTAAAGAAGTGCTGGGAGTCGAACCCCAGCCCCTGGAGATGCGGGTCGACGCCTCTGCGCGCTCAGCCGCCGCTGATTCTAGAGAGTACGTCGCAGGTCCCACTCCTGGCTCCACACTGTGGCATCCCGAGGAAATCATGATGACGCGCAGGGGCTAGGGTTCGACTCTCAGCATTAAGCGGTCCAGACAGCGACACCGCCCCAAGTCTGCTCCCACACCCCAGCGGAAAACCCTGATCCTGCTGCTGCCCATGCAGGCCGTGGTGCTGGCGCCTCGGGCGGCGTCGCCGTGCCAAGCACAATGCAGCAGTACTAATGTGCCGCGTGTCCACCGCCGGGCCCAATGGCCGGGCCGCCAGCTTGTACCTTGTTCCGACAAACGAGCAGCCATCGGCCATCGCGCATCGGCGCTAATACAGTCGCCCTTCCCGCTTCCTGCCTCACGATATTTCAAAGATAATTTGATCCCAGAATAACGCGCCGACGTCTGCTGCGCGGCGCTGCGGACGGGCCGGGTCCATCCATCGGCGGGGTAAACCTCCAACTTTTGGTATTCACATCTTGCATTCAAGTCGCTTTGGAAGTGTTACCGAGGATGTAAGTTGCTAGCCCGCGCGAGAGGGACTAAGCGCTGCCGACGCTGTCGCCACAGGCCGTGTTATGTGGCATTGTGTCTTGTTGCGTCGGGAAGGTGACCGCTGCCTGCCCCGCTTGCTTGCTGCCCATCTTGTTGTTTTTGCTGTTGCTGCTGCGGCCGGACATCGAGGAATGTTGTGGGGCCAACAGCCTCGTTGGTGCAGACCTTGTGCGCGAACGTCGCCCGGCCGGCCAGCCCGGCCCCCGCTAGCCCAGCCGCGCCCAACGCCCCAGCCCCGCGTGCCGAGCACCTGTCCTTCCCTGAGCACGCGTGCGCGGCGTGGCGGGGCGGGGCGTGGGGCGGCGGGGCGGGGCGGGGGGCGGGGGGGGTGGGGGGGGGGCCGACGCCCACGCACGCGACGCGGGCACCGGGAGCGCAGCGCGTTCCCGCGCGATTCTAGGGGCCCGCGGCAAGGGGTATCGCCGCGCCGCGCCGTGCCTCACGCGTCCTTGCGGCCGGCGAGGTGCAAGACGATGACGGGGCTGTACCAGCAGCGGGCTTTAACATTTCAGCGGGCATGTGAGTCTTTGTGCGTGTGTGCGTGTGTGAGTGTGTGTTTTTTCGAGAGTCGCGCTGTACAGTCGCCGACGTGAACCCATTTGCCGCGCCGAACGTTATATTATCCGGCGGCGTTTGAAAGGATGTGGTGTCTCGAAGCGCACCCCGCCCAACCCCGCCCCGAGGCCGCCGCGCCGCCCCGCGCGCCGCCAAGCCGAAGGCCACAAACCGTCATATCGCGCGGACGCCACGCGCCGCCACGGCATGGCGCCAGGGGGGCGCCTCTGGCCGCGCCAGCCTTGGGGGTGGCGAAAAAGCGTGAAAAACAGCCGGGCTGAGATAGGGGGTGCGCGTCGCGGCGCGTGCACCGCATTGCCGCCGACGTGGCCTCATTTTTACGCCGTTTATTTGCCCCGTCGCTTATGCCGGCCCTACACGATAAATTGGGTCGGGGCAGCGCGAGCAGCGTGGCCGGCCACCGCAACGGCCGTCGCTGACGTTGGCGTCTGGTGGCCCCGGTGGACAGGCCGGCCGCCTGCCGGGTGGGCCAGCCCGCCGCACGCCGGAGCGCGCGCTCTGCCTGGCGTCGCGGCTCGCGGCGGCCCCGTTCGGCCCGTCTGGCCAGCGAGCCGCTGCACCACTGCTCCACTCTGTCCCCTCCCTCCAGCACCGCGCTATCCAGCCAGGCCGGCTGGCCACACGCAGCCGCGGCCCGCGGCCGTCCGCGCGCTGCGATAGCGCACCGCGGCAGTGTTATTTCCGTTCTGCACCCTCCCCTCCCCTCCCCTCCCCTCCCCCCCTCCCCCCTCCCCTCCCCTCCCCGGGCTGCCTGGCTGGCTGCACCTCGTCGCCGTGCAACTGGTGCAACATTCGCGCAGCGTTTGGGTCTGGCGCCCCGCGGCGACGCGGTGACGCTGCGACCGGCGGTCCGGGGAAGGGGCAGGGGCGCTGGGTCGACAGCCTCTACAACGCCCTGTCCCGCCTCGGCCGCGTCGGCCGCCCCGACTCGACAGGTGGACGGGTGACGAGATGACAGCGCGGAAGGCCGGAAGGGAGGCCCTAAACGGATGGTGCTGCATCGTCAGGTCTCCGTAGTGCCGTGGCCTCGATCCGCCGCACTCCCCACATCGCCCTGCATC